AAAAAAAAAAAAAGTAAAGATCCTGTCTCTACTAAAAACAGAAAAACTAGCTGGACATGGTGGCACAGGCTTATAGTCTCAGCTACTTGGGAGGCTGAGGCAAGAGGATCTCTTGAGCCCAAAAGTTTGAGGTTGCTATGAGCTATGATGCTACAGCATTCAACCCTAGGGCAAATGAGTGAGACTCTGTCTCAACAACAACAAAAACTATGGGTCTCCACTTTATAACCAAGGGCTGCTCAGGTATTCCACCAGAGTAGGACATTTCACAAGCAAGCATGCCTATCTGTCTGCAGATATTTTTTTTTTAGACAGAGTCTCACTAAGTTGCCCTGGGTAGAGTGCCGTGGCATCACAGCTCACAGTAACCTCAAACTCTTGGGCTTAAGTGATTCTCTTGCCTCAGCCTCCCGAGTAGCTGGGATGACAGGCACCTACCACAACACCTGGCTATTTTTTGGTTGTGGTTGTCATTGTTGTTTGGCAGGCCCAGGCTGGGTTCAAACCTGCTAGCTCCAGTATATGTGGCTGGCACCCTAGCCGCTGAGCTACAGGTACCAAGCCTGCAGATTTGTTTGTTACAATATACACGCATATCTGTATGTTCAGTAAGTCTATATGTATGCATGCACACAACATAGGACTAGCCTCTCTGATGAAAAGTGGGGGTCCTGTGGCTTTCCAGTGAGTTTTATTGGCTCTGAGAGCCTCACGCAGGGGCTCATGGGGAAAGTGTTCACTCAAAACAGGTTAAGCCCACGTGGCTCCTTTCATAAAAATGATCAAGAAATCACCCCCCAATGAAGGCCCAAAATTACAAGGCTAATTTTTCTCACCTCCATCCTCAAGAGGGACAATAGGTAGCTCTAAGCCCAAGAGAAACATAGACTTAAGAGCCTCACCTTGAAAGCCAGATGCTCCACAAAGTAGCCAGCCCCGTTGTTCTTCTCAGTTTCGTAACGGCTGCCAACATCAATCCACAAGCCTACCTGGACAGAAAGCCACCAACAAAGTTAAGAAACCACCTCAGCCCCACTCAGACCTCACCCTGAGTGACACAGCACAAGCCCTAGGCATGTGCTCATGGGTCCCAGGGTGGAGGGAAGGCTGCCCCAGCAGGATCACCTGCTTGCAGGTACACTGTACACGGGGTATAGGGGGCCAGGCAAATGACTGCCATGTCACAATACATCACTTCTACTTCTTGCCCTATTTTCTGACTGGTCACCAAGAATACCCAGGGACAGTGGCACCCATAGCTCAGTGGGTAGGGTGCCAGCCACATACACCAAGGCTGGTGGGTTCACACTGGCCTGAGCCAGTTAAAACAACGACAGGCTCAGCACCTGTGGCTCAAGCAGCTAAGGTGCCAGCCACTTACACCTGAGCTGACAGGTTCAAATCCAGCCCAGGCCTGCCGAACAACGACAGCTGCAACCAAAAAA